AAGGGGGGGGGGGGAATAAGTCTTCGGAGAGAGATGAGAGCATCAGAACTTCCTATCACGAAAATGAACACCAAGGATTTCATTGTATCCTCTGTGTTATGTTATGACGAGCAAACAGTTTTTATCAATGTCACTAATACCCATGACTGCGTGAATTTCTAGGTTGAAGCCCTGCTGCTGTTATTTACTACTACCTCACCGTTACCATGCATAACAATATACAGTGTCTATTAATAACTTATATGGTTCAACATTTACTCTAACCACTGGTTTAGTAGGTCTTGGATGACGTTATCTTAGTGTGGTTTGCTGTGATATATGAAACGTTTTCCGTTTTTCTTCAATTTAGCTTATCAGTATATGCTTCGCGAGGGCGGCCTGTTGTCATTATGGCGTGGGAACGGGATCAGCGTGTTGAAAATCGCCCCTGAAACGGCACTCAAATATGGTTCGTATGAACACTACAAGCGATTTCTCACGTCGGGAGTAGGACCTTTCGAAATGTTCGTGGCAGATGAGTGGCCCCTTCTGACGAAGTTCGTCGCTGGCTCTTTCGCCGGATCCACTGCTCAAACCATTATTTATCCCCTTGAGGTATGTGTCATCGTTCTGTGTTTTTCAGGTTAGTAACGCCGATTGTAATCCTAATAGTCCATTCCTCTCTCTCTCTCTCTCTCGACTTTTGGCATTCTATCGCGGCTATTTTGTCAACTTGTTAGGCATTGTCCCATACGCCGGAATCGAGCTGGCACTGTACGAAGTAAGAGGTTCCTCTACCTGATAGCATTGATTTACAATCTGTCCTGTTCTAAGCATCTTGTTTTGCTCGATCTTTGCCACATAGTGCAGGTAGACCAAATGATTCGATAGCGCTTTCGAGGTATTCCGATCGTTTTTATGATTTGAGAACGTCATAGTTACTATTTTAATGTATGTTGGTGGAATTTCGATATTCTTAAGAAATCATTGTCGGGATTTTTCTCTTATTCCGTAAAATACTTTCATTAGATTTGCTCTATTTTTTTCAAAATCAGTATTGGGATCCATTGACAATTCGCGTCACGTTGACTGGATTATTTAATGAAGTTATTTGTGTGAAATGCAAGTACAGCTTGAACTGAAGAGCTAAGAAGCACTGGACCACTGTTTCCACCTGGTTCGCTCTCATCAGCAGTGCGAATTTCGAATATATATATATATATATATTGAGTATCGTCTAAAAGGAACACGTATTAAAACACGCATGGTTGATTGTCCGTCAACAAAATGATCCAATCCCAACAGACTGTTTTATGGTTTTCATAATATTGCATCACTGTACGCCCTAGTCGACCGCCACGAGTAAGGGTCCGCAGGATGCGGCGCTTGGTGCGTCACACCACCATAGAAACGCACACTATTCAATCCATCCACCTCGTTGTTACATTCCACTGTCAGACTTGGAACAGTCTTAGATCTGGTAAATTTCTGTCCCATCTTGTCTGGGTCAGTTCAGTACGTTTTCCGTACTCAGGCATGCAATCAGGATGAATAAATGTGATACTCAATGTTCTCAGTGTGGTCACGCTACGCAGTTGCGACGCGGGTAAGTTGGTAGATATTTGATTTAGTTTGCTCGCGATACTCTCGTGAGAGGTAACATCAACCTCATCTCTTCCACTCAGTTTTTGCACTGTATCAGAAACTATCCTTGAAATGATATTGGGTAGGAGATACATCTGCTTGAGGTGCTTCATATCTGGCGAACATTTGTCCTGTCCGCAAGTAAGCAGTAAGGGCCATTGGTCTCGGAAATCTGTCATTTGGCAGTACTTAAATTGTTCAAGTAGATCTAGAGGGTATAGACAAGATTTGATTTTATGAAGCGCGGTTCACGCAAACTAGCATTTCGCTCAACTGTGTCCAAATTTTGCATTTGTTTGCTTACCTGATGGTGATAGTGATTAAGAGATGTGACTTGCTACCAATGGCACAATCCGGTTTGAAGGTTTGTCATGTTCACCTCCACTGTTTTGACTTCCTTTCTCATACATTAGATTACTTCTACTTTACGGCCCCTGGCTCCTGGGAGGGGATAAGCCGACTTCATGGATATTTGACGAAATTTATTAGGGATTAAGTACAAGAAACGTCTCCCGCGTTACCCGGCTTAAGGTCGAGGTAGCATCTCTAGCCTTTGAACATCTAAGTGCCAGCTGTGAGGCAGTAGGAAGATAGCACATTACCGGTGACCCTCTTGGGGGGGGGGGGGGTTCGTACGCCATTAGCAGTTTCTAGCTGAATATGAGGCCATGCATCTCTGGTGAGTACAGAGTCATTGCTTTGAACGTTGAGTCGTATAAGCGACTCTATCCAACCACCATGCTAGTACCGCATTCATCCGTAGACGCCAACTCGCTCCCGGTTACCCTCAACCTGGTTTGGCCCGCCCGTTGAGCGGTTTACTGGATTGTAACCCCTGTTGCATCCAGACAGCTTCTTGGAGACAAGCGAGAGCTGAGCGCCTGGTAGAGGTTGCCCCAAAGGGCCGACAGCCCTCGGAGTCGGAGGTGCTACTCCATCTGGGTTGCCCATATACCCCATGCGATAACCGAACAAAAAGTTCACTACGTCTATTGTTCATCACATATGACGTCGTTTTCCACTTTGACCGATACACGATCTCCTGTCTCGTGGACTTCAGCAGGTCTTACTGGTTCTGAAATTAGTGTCCTTACCCTTCGGAATTTTCGCACGATTGGTTATTTCTTGAAAAACCTTTGCACGTTTGTTATGAATACCTCTGCTCCCGTTGCTGTAGCCTTGCAATCGGAATCAAAATTTAGCAATAACTTGATAGGCTACAGTTTCCAACTTGTTTTTTATTCTTTTTGTCGACTCGGTTAACTGGCCCTATGCTTCAGAGTGCAAAATGCTTGTGAGCAATAACTCCAAGTTCTCTTATTTGCTGAGTAAAGATTGTCATTTGTTCCTTGTTTCCCTGTTCCTATATAGCGTTGCAAATCAGCCTATGTGCACCGCTTCATGGCGGAGGATATGAATAGGTAAGTAAATGTATCTTCTATGTTTTCGTTTTCCAAAACCCGCAGGACAATGGAGTATATGCACGCATGTGTGCATGAATTCATAGGAGAGGTCAAGAGTTCGCAACCGTCGATGAAATTGAGGTGACCCAATTAGAAGCAGTCTTGTCGCCTTGTCCCACAACTATTTACTACTGGAGTTCTGTGTTGGTTTGCTGCTCCAAGTCCCGTAGCCAGTGTTACCCCTAACTGCCTGCAGTCATTTCATTGATTATATACTATATATATATCGTGATATAGTGCTAAACAAAAGTAACCCATTGGTCTATTCTGGGATAAAATCTAAAGAGGGCGGGGTAATTTACTAGGTGGTTTACCCTCATGCCGGGAAACCTCAGCTTGACTTTAAAATGTGAACCAGAAAATGATCAGCAGATAGACTGAGCACGAGATATTAACTTGAGCACTGAACCTTTAGTCAAGAGTCAGAATACACCCGATGCGTCCAGTTGTTACTCGCGACCAGTAAATCGCCATGTTTGCACTGGCCGAGTTGCAATAGCAATGGGTCACTGCACAACTGTGAGAATACCTGGCTCTCACCCAAACCCAGGGACAACTATGTACCAATCGGTACTAAGTGTGTTACCTCATCGCACTCGTTTCTGAGTATCGTTTGCTGGTCGCAGTATTCCACACATCGTATCGCGTCATATTCGCATCATATTCTGTCATTTTGTTTTTAAGTGGTACTCAGTCTTTACTCCGTTTATTTATGTATATTTCACAGCCTAAATCCGGACTGTGCCAAACATCATTGTACAGGAATCTTTGTGATAAAAAATCAATCCATGATTTCTCTTGGGTGGAATGCCGCCAGGTTGCCCAAACCAAATCAAATGATTTTTTTGAAGATTCATAATTGGAGCCTTCAGCTAGCGAGTTTGACCCAGATCATCATCTCCATTATACAGCGAAATACCGTGTTCCACAAAGCAACTAGACGGTGTGTAAAAGCCGCAATCCATTCTATCGTGGTGTCCATTTAATTAGATGAGGTCAACCGTCCAAGGTACCCGACACACCTATGCTCAAGCTAGTTAGTAACCGCTGCTGAAACCAGAGCGGGCTGCGTCTTTCCTAATTTTTAATCGTTCTTTGCCAACTTCCATAGATGAATTGCCGTTGGTCTAAACTGTTTTTTTTGGTGTGTGGCTGTATGTTGGCTGTTGAAAAATATATTCATGAGCTACCCTTTAATAATGATCTCTGCTCTTCTTTTTTCCTTGTTTGTTGCAGCTGCGGTGGAGCCGCAGATGTTCATCCCCCAACTTATGTGATACCCGTTCTAGCTGGAGTGTCGTCCACTTGTGGCATAGTGGCCACATATCCGGCTAGCTTAGTCCGTGCCAAACTTCAAGCCGCCTTTTGGAGCCAGACCACACAACAAAAAATCACTGCCATCAACTTGTTAAAAACGATCTGGAGAGAAGACGGAATAGCTGGTTTGTATCGCGGTCTGGGTACCAATCTCGCTAAAGTGTTACCTGCGGTGGGTATCAGTTTAGCTTCATACGAGGCCCTACGTCGCGAATTCAATCTCGGCCCTCTTGGATCTGGATGAAAAGTATAATCTACACATTTAACCTGTCCAGTTGGCCAGTCGACCTTGCATTCTTATCGCTGTTTCAGGAGCGAATCACGTTATTGTTACACCCACTGTAAGCCGTGATACGCTCTTTCACTCATCCACTTTCGTAGATTACGTTTTTGTTGGTAACTACAATACCATAACTATTTTTTGTCTTATCAATGTACCATACCTAGTGTAGTTCTGTCTACACTCAACCCCATTATGTGGGGAGCGCGAATGAATGGAAACCCGGTAATGTCTAGTCTACACTGACGTGTACACTTGTATACTTATTTACATTAGTAATTATTACAATCGCGTTTCGTGCACACAAACGGTTTGCCACAACACATCCGTCTCTCTCTCTCTCTCTCTGTGCATCATTTTAGAGAAAGACTTATTAACATTTGCCATTTATTTCTCGTTCTCACATCAGCTTCTGGGTGGTGTTCACCTAATTTGTTCAACTGTATTTTATCATCGTATGCCTTAATCACCTGTTAACTGCGCGCCCTACCAACTAATTGCGCCACGAGTCCATTGCGCCAGTCTCCCACTTCATTCCACCACAGTATCTTTCCGTGCAACTTTTTTCACCCAAGTGTTGTTGCCACTGTCTCCTTCAGTAATTTCCTATCCCCTCTCCTCACAAGTCACAGTGTAGATTCTTTTTCGACTGTTCAGCTGTCGTAACGTAGTTGTTATTTTGTTCTTTTTCTGTTTGTTGTTGTTGTACTTTTGTCAACTCTGCTCTGATCGACTTCATGTATGTATTATCACCTGAGAAACAACCAGTCATATTTTTTTAAAACACTCAACAAAAAGATTTCCTTTGTATTTTGTGGCACAAAATAAAACAATATAGACTTTTACGATGGAATTTTCATTTGCCGCTCACCTTCCACCCTGCTCGAGCGCCATTTGTCTGACGTGCATTCGTAGGTCATTATGAAGTCAAAGGTGTACTCCATGAGAAACGTAGATAGAAAGATTACGAGTCGCTAGGATACCTGACTGTCGGTGTCCTTTGTGAATTCAATTGATTTGACTATAGCCTGATTGTTTATATGGGTACTTGTGAAGAGTGAGGATGTCAAAGGTCAAGCTGATGAGTCGTACTATGTATGACTCAAAAATCTACCAGAAACGCAAAACCAGGAAGCATCATGTGATGAAGGAGAAGTAGTGCATGGTTGATTCGCGTGATGTTACCTAGTCCCTTCGACTAAATTTTCTACCTCCACAAGTCATTGGTGTGATTTTCCGAGCGCGTAATTCACCGGTAACGTTTGTCCCGTCTGTTGAATCGTGCATCTTTTGAGTGGGGTTCCCAGTCTAGCCGATCAGCATGTATCCTATGGTCTTGGGATAGTTCATGGGGCTCATTTTCGGTGGCGTGGAATTACCCTAGACGAGGAGACGATCAGTGGTTCATCAAGTTAGGTTAGTCTATCGCCCTTGAAACGATAACGGAGTGTTTTGGAATGCTTCCACAGAGGGTCAGTAGAAGCTATTTGAAAAGGAGCCCATGATAAAATACTTTTACCAAAACATCATGCTGCGACATATGGCGATGGCGGTATAGATAACTCATGGTTGTTTATCAGGGTTAAAAGCATTTCAGTTCCAGTTTGTACCACCGTTACCATGCAATTTCGCGCGGCATTTGAGGTTCCTGGTCTTTTGGCTACCTTTGTTGAATGGAGTAGAAGAACGATTGGAAAGTTGAAGGTGGAGTCGAAGAGGAAATGGAGACATTCAGTAGACTAAGGCTGTAAAGAACTGGAGACAGCACATAGCGCCACTGTTAATGACACAGCCATATCAATCAGTGTCTCCAGCCATTGACTGCAATGATTTTTTCGAGGTCCCCATCCAGGGGGCCGAACGCGACCTGTCACTGTTTCCCAATCAATTGACAAGAGGTGTACAAACCGCACTCACCCTAGCCTTAGTCGTGGAAGTGGTTACGGTGTTGATTGTTTACCTGGGACGTTTGACCCCGTCTGAAGGGTAACTGATCCAATGTGGAGTGCGGTTTTGACGCCCCCGCTGCCACCTTGGCCTGGACAATCTAGTAGGATTTCGACCAGAAGCAGATCATGGAACTTTCTCTTTTGCTGTGAGGATTATTGTACTGTGATTTGTTCGGCACAGTCTGAATTCAGACGTGCGTAAAATACCACGTTTCAGTTTTTACAACCATTAAGCGTGCACTTTCGTGCGCCGGTTTTGGTTGCCCATTTGGATAAAAGAGCGAAATGAAGATTGTAATGGAAATACCACGTAAAGGTCATCTTTGCCGTATGGTCCACAGTCGGCGATGAGCAGTGGCCTTCCAATTTCCTACATAAACGGAATGATAAGGTACGTGGATTTCGGTGGCTGTCTGTCTATAGCACTGCTTACGGTAAATTGAAACATCCAGCATGTTGAACGATAGATAAATTCATGAAGACCAGCTTAGGATTTCATTCAATACAAAAACTGTTGCGGATGAAAATGTCATGTCGGTTGATGTTGCCAATCATAGACCGGATGCTGTTCTTTTGCGATACCTCACCGGGCCATCTCCGCGGATGCATTTGAAATGTCTCTTTCCGTCTCGACATCTGATCGGGCAACTTCGTTCCGTCTGGGTATATTGTATCGCACCACGCGTCTTAGCATCTTCATTACGAGTATCTACCCTCCCACATTAACTAGCCTTTTTGGGGTAATGGTTCGCTCGGCAGCTTTCTTCTTCAGAGTTAGAACGTCACTCTGAGTGGAACTGTAGCTATGACTACAGTTGCTGTTACACTCCTACTCCAAAAGGTGATGTACTTCGCCTGATTCGTTTGATCTATCACTCGTCCGGCACTTTTTCCTATTCTAAACATCCGAATGCTCGGTACCGGAAATAGCCTTATCAATTTGTACTGTTTATTCCATGCATTCCTGAATTTATGTACATCCGGTCGATCATCGACGGGTATAATGGGTGCATTCCTTTCAATGCGCTTCGTTGAGCGAGTACATTTTCGTATCGGCAGGAACGAAGCAGTCTTTATGCCGATTGATAGTCGCATTCCATCAACACTGGCGCGGAAATTCGTTGTGTGGATCATATTGAGTCACTTGAAATAGTTCTTCGCTGTGCATCAGAGCTTAATCCATCCTTCCTTGCCTAACCTTGTCATTGTTTCCCATTCTGAACGCACAGGCCTAGGAATTCTTTGACCTAGGATATCAGACAGACATTGATTCGTATAATGAGTTCAACGTTCGCGCATCCAAATTCACTTCTGTTTCGTGCTAAAACAGGTTATCTGCGATATCTTTTGTACACCACGAGTGGCAGACATATCGGGCTGACGTAATGCACACTTAAACATCGAGAGTAAACTTTGGTGTTGTGACTTACATCAGCAATTGCGATTCAAGGTTCCAACCCCGTACACTTTGATGACGCAAAGGTTTGTTGTTGTCTGAGACGTGCCAACCCCAGTGAGCACTAATGAGCCACATCCCGAACCCAATTTCCAGAACCGAGAAGTGACGCAAAGCGTTTGCAGCAAAAAAATAAATATTGTATTGTATTTTGTACAACTCTTGCAAGCACTGGAGCTCACATTTCAGTTAGAAACACAACAAGCGTCACAATGTACTTAATCAACGGGGAGAACAGTTACAGGCATGGGGACATTTCATAATCCAAGGTTAAGACAAAGTTCACTTGTCCGCTCTTTGTTTGTGCGTAGACGAGCAAGATACGGTATAGTGAATTGCGGTAAGCGTTAATTCGAGATGAAATTTGGTGGAATTGGGAGCGTGTTGAACGATGGGAACGACAACGTGTCAGTCCTACGTGCAATGGGTGGTTAGGATCTGTGAGAATCCTCTCAGCAAATTTCATACAGGAACTTACATGATACTCTAAAAGCTTTAAAGCTAACTCATTCCATGGATAGAAGAGACACGACTAATAATAGTTAGACCGCGGCGTAAGACTTAAATCCTGTTTGAGTAAGCCAGAAAAAATGACTGGGGAACAGTAGAGTAAGATGGGGAAAACACTGATGAACAAAGGTAGAAATAACTGACTAGGATGCACGAAACTGCCTGAGCTTTCGTATTTGGAATGATAGGCGCCGCAGTTGTGGATGTGGGTAGACCAATGAAGATTGCTATCTATGGTTACACCAATATATTTGACAGAGTTCGCCTTAGATAAAGGATTGTTATTAATCACTTTGGGGTCTGTCGGATATGGGGAGCGAGTAAAACGATGTAAACACTCAACACATTTACTGGGGTTTAGGGTTAGACCCGAGAGTGACTGAATATGATTGTCTGTGAAAGGGCTTGGATCCGAGTAAGAAGAAATGGGTTGGCGCAATACGACGTCATCTGCATATTTCAAAACACGTGCGAGAGAAACTCAGGGAATATCACATGTAAGTGGAAAATAAGTATGGGGGAAAGCACAGCTCCTTGAGGAACCCCGGAGTTGTTGACTAAGGGTTCAGATGAATACTTTCACAATTTAGTGGTTTGTACTCTATCAGTGAAGTAGTTGGATAACCAAGCTAACAACTGATTGGGGCATTCCAACTTTTCCAGTTTTTGTAACAACTTAGATCGAGGAATGGAATCAAATGCGGAAGAGTAGTCGAGAAAAACACACCGAACAGACTTAACAGAGCTGTTCAACGATTTAGTGATCGATTTGATCTATTTGGCGTGTAAGCAAACTGTAACGGATCACTGGGAATGTTTATAGACTGCTGAAGGCGTTTGAGGATGGCCTTTTCAGTCAATTTAAGAGCTGAGGATGTTAATGCTATGGGACGAAAACGTTTGGAGAGGATAGAAGATTTGGACGCTGTTACTGTTGCAGAGTTATACGAGTTAACATGAAAAAGTGAACGGATTGACAGGGTTATTGAAGTTCTATTGCAGTCGCTTTGGGGTGGTAGCGCGTGGTTTTCAGGAGCGTAGCATCAGTG